AGGGTTAGCATTCCTGTAGGTCAAGACCAACACAGGATACCTGTAACAAAGTCAGCCCGCCACAGACATCCCTTCCATGTCTAGCAGCTCTCCAGGTCACGGTTCTCAATAAGCAAACACAGAAAACAACCTCATTCTCTTCTTCCCACTCATTAAAAACAAACCCAAATGGTATCCAGATTTAGAGTACACCTACCAATGAAAAAGTTAAATGAAGAAAGGGAGGCACCAACCCACATAATCTTTCCATTCAAAGAGGCACTATTCCAAGCTGCTGTGGAGTTTATAATTAACAGACAAGCTTAACCAACAATAGAAATTTCTGGAATCTCTTGTAATTTACACTAGAGTCTGCCTCATTCCAAATTTAGATCACAAGCATGGGCTGGATTCCGAAGCTGAATACCAAAGCCTTCTTGGCACACCTCTAGCTTGGGTTTCTTGCAGTCACTCACCCCTGCTGGGGAGAGCGTCTGCAGGATGACTGAGGGCCAGCTGACCTAGTATGCAGACAGAGGCAGAGCGGCTGCTTTGCCAGAGCTCACTCACATCCAGAGGCCCAGCAAACACCCACCATTAGCTCCTCAGAGCTGTGTTAGGAGGCTGTGCTGCAGAAATGTCTGGTTGCACTCAGATGTATTCATTATGATGCCTTCTACAGATCTTTGCTGTTCTGTGAGGGTTTTGTTTCCTTTCCCACCTGCTACCCCAGGGTGAACCCTCACAACCAGGTTCCAAGAGCAAGGTGTGCAGTGAGGCATATCTGAGCACCTGACTCTGCTGTGAGGCTGCCTGACAGACCAACCCACAGAGAAGACAGATAAGGAGGGTAGGAAGAGGGCGGCCATCACAGGCTACTGTCAGAGGCGTGTGAACCAGAGCAACTCCACCTTAAATAGGAGATAGGTAAAATGAGGCTGAAACCTACTGTGCTGTATTCCCAGATGGGTAGGTAAGCCATTCTAAGTCACAGGATGAGACAGGAGGTCAGCACAAGATACAGGTCATAAAGACCTTGCTGATAAAACAAGTTGCAGTAAAGGAGCCAGCCAAAACCCACCAAAACCAAAATGGCCACAAAAGTGACCTCTGGTCATCCTCACTGCTACACTCCCACCAGCGCCATGACAGTTTACAAACGCCATGGTAACATCAGGAAGTTACCCTATATGGTCTAAAAAGGGGAGGCATGAATAACACACCCATTGTTTAGCATATCAACAAGAAATAACCATAAAAATGAGCAACAGCAGCCCTTGGGGCTGCTCCCTCTATGGAGCAGCCATTCTTTTATTCCTTTACTTTCTTAATAAACTTGCTTTCACTTTGCATTGCAGACTTGCCCTGAATTCTTTCTTGCAAGAGATCTAAGAACCCTTTCTTGGGGTCTGGATTGGGACCCCTTTCCTGTAACATATTTCTCTGTAACACTACCAGCTGCTTTGTGGTGTCTTTTTTATCACGTGAATCCACTTCATGAAGAGCTATCAGATTAAAACAGGAAGTCTACTCCTTTTACAGAAAAGGGAACTGTGACTCAGAAACAGAAGAAACTTGCTCAGGGCCACGCAATTATTTCCTGGTAGATAAAAACTAGATCCCAGTTCTCAAACTCCCAAGGCTTAGGCTTCTTTCCCTATAACTCCAGAGACAGTGCCAGCTTTTACAGGGGATGATGGTAAAACTGCACAGTAGCATAATTTCTGAGGCATAATGTAAAACTGCCAGATATTACATTAGAAATTTACACAGATTACTCCACCTATGAAAGAGTATTATAATTCCCTTATTTATCTATTCATTCATCCATTTATTTTTTTGAGGCAGGGTCTTGCTCTGTTGCCTAGGCTGGAGCACAATGTTGCAATCATGGCTCACTGCAGTTTCAACTTCAGGGCTCAAGCCATCATCCATCCTCAACGTCCCAAGTAACAGTAAGAACAGGTACACAGCACCATGCCCAGCTAATTTTTTTTTTTATATCTCTATGTTGCCCAGGCTGGTCCCCAACTCCTTGGCAAGCAATCCTCTGGCCTCAGCTTCCCAAAGTGATGGGATAACAGGCATGTGCCACCAGCTCAAGACTATATTCCCCACTTTAGATTGGAGAAGCGTAATGCCTCCAATAGTTTTATCTGATTCCAAAGTTCACCGTAACCTTGCTGTCTATATAGGACTAGAAAGATCTCTTCCCAGTTCCCAAAATACTTTCTTCAAAGGCTGGCTAGGATGCTACAAATCCTTCAAAGACCATTGGAGTGAAGTTCCTAAGTCCTGGGTGAATGTAGGCATTCCTACGCGAAGAGCACACTGCTGGGCCGTGACCTGCCATTAATCCCTCTGAATGCACTAGCTGTTAGACACTGGCTCTCGCCTAGGGAAACAGAGGACACACTTAGGAGTTTAATGTGAGAAACAAGTGAGTTTTAACAGGAGGAAAAGAAAAAAGACGTGGTTTTTAATCTGTTCCAATATGAAGACCATTTATAAAAGTCAAGCTTTTTCCTGCCACCTCCATGGTAGTTGTATATGATACTTCTGTATTCTATTAAAATGCATAATAAATAGGATTTACTAATTTCTGAATTAGTGGCACTTTCAACTGAAATTTTATTTTAGTAAACGACAGAATCATTTGAAAACACATAGTATTGGGTGCACTGTACATGGAAGGGTGTCCATCTGTAGATGACTCTACAAACCCCTTCCTTGAAATCCTAAGATTTCAGGGTCCACGGGGGACCTCAGCTAGAACATGGGGTACTGCCCCCAGATGAGCAGGCCTGGTGCATGTCTCAACCAGGCTTCCTGAAGGAACCTGGTGGCACAGAATGAAGAAGTGGAAGCCCATAAGGCACACTTCACATCCTTCACAATTTTGCCCAAGCCCTGCAGCCCTCTCTCCAACAGTCAACATAAAAATTAACAATTACACATTTACACTAACATTTGGGCAGGGAAACTATGGAACACAGTCACTTACGTTGGAAGGGAATAGAGAAGAGGGAGACAATGTCAGAGAAAAAATTTAATTCATACTGATGCCAAATAAAATGGTAAAATCATCTAGAAAAAACTGCAAGGTTATTCTTTAACAAAGCTTCAGTGTCTGGAAGGATCTGAATTAAATGAAAAGGACAGCAGGTAACAAAAAAAAGGCACCCACCTATGCCAGTGTGACAAACATGTGGCCACAATTTAAGACCCTACCTTGCAATTTCTCAGCAAAAGGAGACTCACTTACACATCATAGCTTCTAAGAGGACCTTATAAATCTATGCTACACATATACTGAAAGTCAAACTTAGATTCTTTAAAAGTAAAAATAGGGCCAGGAGCAGTGGCTCACATCTGTAATTCCAGCACTTTGGGAGGCCAAGACAGGCAGATTGCTTGAGCTCAAGAGTTTGAGATCAGCCTGGACATGGCAAAACTCCGTCTCTACTTAAAAAAATTCATAAAGTAGTGGGTGTGTTGGCGCATGCCTGTAGCTCTAGCTAATCAGGAGGCTGAGAATGGAAGGATGGGTACAGCCCAGGAGGCGGAGATTGTGAGTCAAGATGGCACCACTGTCCTCCAGCCTGGGCAACAGAGCCAGATCCTGTCTCAAAAAAAAGTAAAAATAGAAGGAAAAAACTCAAATCAGCAAACTTTAAGTATGTGCAGCACCTGTTATAAATCAATTAAAAGCATTCATATTTAAGAAAACCAATTAGCCCTGTACCTTTCCAGCTTATCCTCTTCTATCACCCTCTCTTCAGAATCTCACCACACTATTCAACACGCCCTGAACAAGTCTTGCACCTTTATATCCATACCACTGGGTATCAGGTGTTCAGTAAGCTTAGTCATGCTGCCACATTCATTCATACACCCAAGTGCACACGCATGAACACACTCACCAACGTTCTACTCAAACCCCAAAGGCAGAACCAATCTCCCCTCCCCTACACCTCCGGTGTATTCTTCAACTTACATCACACATACTTCCATGACAGCATTTGCCATAGGGATCACTGCAGCCACATCATCACTGTATTTCATTCATCCCTCCACTCACAACACCAATTACGCTGCTTAACACAAAACATATAATAAGAGCACAGTGCAGAAACAAAGAAATGAATATAGGTAATCAGGAAGTAAAACTTCTAATCGTGATTGTGTGAGGATTACCTGTTCAAAAAACTGTCATAATTCTCAGCATTAAATTACTGGGTGATATGGTTTGGCTGTGTCCCCATCCAAATCTCACCTTGAAATCTCAAGTGTTGTGGGAGGGACCCAGTGGGAGGTAACTGAATCATGGGGGCAGGTCTTTCCCATGTTGTTCTCAAGATAGTGAATATGTCTCATGAGATCCAATATTTTTAAAAATGGGAGTCCCCTGCACAAGTTCTCTTCTCGTCTGCCACCACGTGAGACATACCTTTCACCTTCTGCCATGATTGTGAGACCTCCCCAGCCACGTGGAACTATAAATCCAATAAACCTCTTTCTTTTATAAATTGCCCAGTCTCAGGTATGTCTTAGCAGCATGAAAACTAATACACTGGGGAAAATCTATTTCTCTAACTCTGAACTAACTAGTCACCTCCCCTCCCCGGATAACTGATATTACATACGTTTGCTAACAAGATGAAAAATAAAAAGTCTTGTGGTGGCCCATGCCTGTGATCCCAGCTACTGAGGGGTCTGAGGCATGAGAATCACCTGAACCTAGGAGGTAGAGGTTACAGTGAGCTAAGATTTCAACACCGTACGCAAGCCTGGGCAACAGAGCAAGACCCTATCTCGAAAAGAAAAAGAAAGGAAAAGGAAAAGGAAAGGAAAGGTCTGTTTTTCCATCAAAAGGCTTGAATTAGACACAATGGTTCAAATCCCTGCACTGTTCAAAAGAGCCTCCCTGAAAGCTAAATACTTGGTGGAGAAAGCTCCAACCAGCTCCTCTGCCAACTTTCCATTCTCACCGAAAATCAACACAGACAAGCTGTACTCACCTGGCTTGTTTCCTTCCCTCTCATGGCCCAGCTGCCCCTTGGTGTTCAAACCACATGTGTAAACTTCCCCATCTTCCAGCAGAAACACAGAGTGGTTTCCACCACAGGCCACTTCCTTGACACTTCTGTCAGATATGAACCCACACACCTGGGGCTCAGCCACAATTCCCTGCAGGTTGGTGCTGATACCAGGTTGGCCCAGAGACCAATATCCCCAACATAACATTGTTCTTATCTTTCAGGGAATCATGTAGCCTAGGAGAGAGTTAAAAAAAAATTTTTAATTAAAAAAAAAATAGGTCATAGAAAATCAAATAATGAATGTAACCAACTTAAGAAATAACTCTCTCCTTAATATTCTTCAGATATCTTACATCTCAAAATAAAGTATATTAATACTGTTGAAAGCAGTTACATTATAATGATGCAATTTTATACTTTAACAAAAGTTTAAAAACATGTTTAAACAAATTGCATTTATTTAAATGAATGAGTGAACAGACAGAATATGGTTTTCAGATGACTGCTAAGGAATCCTGAGTACAGGAGAGGGGTTGAAACAAACTTGGCAAACCATTAACTTAGTAACAGTTTTGAAATTACTCTCAAGACTTCACCTTATCCTTTTTCTGAATGCACCATTCCTTTGAATTTTCTGCTTATTTAACTTCAAAAAAATTTTTTTAACCAATTAACTACTTTAGGTACCCTAATATTAGCTTGGTTAGTAGTATTTCACCACTTGAAGTGAAGATGACAAATGGAAGAAAAAAAAAAGTTATCTTCTCTGCCATTCCCTTTTGCCCTTGGTTCCAGATCTGAGTCAAGCTGCACTTCCTACCTGAGAGACTCTGGAATTGTTGCAGCGACAGTCAGCCTGCATCCCCCTGACATGTCTACTATACTGCATAACCTGTAGCTTTCTCCTTATATCTTTATAACTTAACTCCCCAAACAGATTTTAATCTCCTTCAACAAATAGTATAACACAGTATAACACAGGCCTCTTCTATTCAGCAAGTAATCAACTTTTAACCCATTACTGCTGACACTAGCCTAAAGTTTCAGTACCTTTTAAAAATTCATGTTTCCCTTTCATACAAACAAAAAAATCTCATCTCTCTCTACCAGTTCACACCATATGGATGGCCAGGTAATAACAAGTGTTGGTGATAATACGGGGCTATCAGAACCATCCTACATTGGCTTGTAAAAATGTCAAATGGTGCAGCTACTTTGGAAAAGAGTCTGGCAGTTCCTGAAAAGACTAAACATAGCAATACCACATGATCCAGCAATTTCACTCCTAGTTATAAACCCAAGGGAACTGCAAGACTATGTTCACACAAATACTCATAAAGGAATGTTCTCAACAGCATTATACACAATATCAAAAGGAAATAACCAAACTACCTATCAACTGATGAATGATTAAAGAAAATATGTCTATACAATGGAATATTATTTGGCTGCAATATGGATGGACTGTGAATAGATTACGCTAAATCAAAGAAGCCACTCACGAAAGTCCACAAATTAAATGATTCCACTTACATGAAATGTACCGAACAGGCAGATCTACAGAGAAAGAAAATACACTAGTCTCTGCCTAGGACTGGAGGGAAAGAGGAAAATGGAGTGACTATACCTGTTCTTTTGGAAGGTGGTGAAATGTTCTAAATTGAGGTTGTGGTGATGGATTTACAACATGCCAAATATACTAAAAACCCCTAAATTTTACACTTTAGATAAATTTTATGGTATGTGAATTATATCTCAATAAAGACTTTTAAATTGTCTTTAAATCTCCTTTCTCTTGCTAAATGTCTACTGCCTCTGCATGTCCACACCAGCAAATAAGACTTTCTTGAGTTTAATTGTGAGAATGGTCATTACCAAAGTAACAGGCACAAAAGCCTTCATGAAAGTATTTTTCCTAGAATGAAAAGAGGAGGGAACAACCCCTAGAGTTTAACATGGGGGAGGCAGCAATGTTTTCAATATTTTATTCCTGCCTACAAAGACATAAGAGAAGAAGCTTTATGTAATGCTTTGGTCAGAAACGAAATACTGTAACTTCAAAAGTTCTTCTGACTCTTTATGAGTAAAGTTGGAAATATTAAGTCAGTGGATCTTCTGTTTGGAAAATACCCCATGCACCTCTCTGGTTTTGAAAGAAAGGTCCAGGATTTAGAGAAAAAAGGAGATGGGGAAAATCCCAAGCCTGCTTTATAAAATAGTAGATGCTCCTATTTAAGATACTAAATTAAGAGAGAGCAACTGGCCAGATTCATGCCTGTAATCCCAACACTTTGGGATGCCAAGGCAGATGGATCACCTGAGGTCAGGAATTCCAGACCAGCCTGATCAACATAATGAAACCCCATCTCTTCTAAAAATACAAAAACTAGCCAGGCATGGCAGCAGGTGCCTGTAATCGCAGCTGCTAGGGAGACTGAGGCATGAGAATACCTTGAACTCAGGAAGTGGAGGTTGCAGTAAGCCAAGATCGCACCATTGCACTCCAACCTGGGTAACAAGGGTGAAACTCCATCTCAAAAAAAAAAAAGGCTGGGCACAGTGGCTCGCACCTGTAATCCCAGGATTTTGGGAGGCCAAGACAGGCAGATTACCTGAGCTCAGGAGTTCGTGAGCAGCCTGGGCAATACAGTGAAATCCTGTCTCTACTAAAATACAGGAAAAAAAAAATTAGCCTGGTGTGGCAACGTGCACCTATAGTCCCAGCTACTCAGGAGACTGAGGCAGAAGAATCGCTTTAACCTGGGAGGTGGAAGTTGCAGTGAGCCGAGATTAGCCATATGCACTCTAGCCTGGGCAACACAGTGAGACTCCATCTCAAAAAAGAAAAAAAAAAGAAAGAAAGAGAGAGAGACAGACTGAATGAAACCTGTATTATGGCTGCAAGTTTGGAACCTGGCCAGTAAACAGTAGATTCTCTGTGGCAGATTAATATTGAGTACAGTGGTGTCTAACACTGAGTTTGAAGTTGTTGCCTATTCTTTAACTACTTTTGAGAATCCCAAACTTCTATCAAAGACACAACACCCTTACAATAACTGTTATTTTGCCAAGCATGAAGAAAAAGAATCTTGAAAATAAGCCAGCAGAACCCCTCCTGAAAACTGACAACTGAGCAATAGTTTTGGATGAGCCACAATAGGAGAACCTAAACATTCTTCATCCCCTCAGAAATTCTGAGAAATTTATGGAAGACACGAAATGTCTAATCAGCATGGCTTTGGGCTTGAATCACTTTATCTGGATATTAAAGAAAACAGTGACCAGGCACAGTGGCTCATGTCTATAATCCCAACACCTTGGGAGGCCAAGATGAGAGGATAGCTTAAGCCCAGGAGCTTGAGACCAGTTTAGGCAACAGGGTGAGACCTTGTGTCTGCAAAAAAATAAATCAGTCAAGTGGATCAGCACACACCTGTAGTCCCAGCTACTCAGGGGGCTGGGGTGAAAGGATCATTTGAGTGCAAGAGGTCAAGGCTTCAGTGAGCTGTGACCACACCACGGCGCTCCAGCCCGAGAAACAGAGTGAGACCCATCTTAAGAACAAATAGTGCAGAAGATTGATCTTAAGTACATTCAGATTACATTTCAGTTTCCAAATAATACATTTTATTTTTTTTGAGACCAAGTCTTGCTCTGTTGCCCAGGCTGGAGTGCAGTGGTGCAATCTCAGCTCACTGCAACTCTGCCTCCCAGGTTCAAGCAATCCTCCTGCCTCAGCCTCCCAAATCGCTGGGATTACAGGCATGTGCCATGCCGCCCAGCTATTTTTTTGTTATCTTAGTAGAGAAGGGGTTTTGCCATGTTGGCCAGGCTGGTCTTGAACTCCTGACCTCAAGTAATCCACTCAAGCCTTGGCCTCCCAAAGTGCTGGGATTACAGGTGTGAGCCACACAATCTAGCCAGTTTCCAAATATACATTTCAATTATAATTCTGAATATCCTTTTCTAACCATATTTTCTTTTTTTTTTTTTTGCCTAAGGAGGACAGTCAGACCTCCATTCTGCAGAGCAGTTTTGCCCATCAGACAGGACCACTTTTATTTATTTTATTTTATTTTTTATTTTTTTGCTTAGATCATCTTTCTCATTTTTTTTTGAAAGGAGAGAAGGAAAGAAAAAAAAGGAGTGAAGGAGAGGAAGAAAAAGAGGAAGAGAGAACGGAAATGTTGCTTTATTCTAAAAATGGGTATTAATAATGGCTGATCAATATATCATTTAAACCCATGAGTAGGTGTGATGCGGTCCTGACAAGAATGTATATTTTGTGTATTTAAAGCACAGAGCTCTATAGATATTTATTAAGTTTACGTGTTCCGGATCTGAGTTCAAGTCCTGGATATCCTTATTAATTTTCTGTCTCGTTGAGTCTAAATCTCTTTATAGGTCTTATGTATCTGGGTGTTAGGATCATTAGCTCTTATTGTTGCACTGATCCTTTTACCACTATATCTTTGTTGCTTTAAAATCTATTTTATCAGATGCGAGAATTGCAACTCCTGCTTTTTATTTATTTATTTATTTATTTATTTTTGCTCTCCATTTAGTTGGTTAATCTTTCTCCATCACTTTGTTTTGAGTCCTTGTGTATCCTTGCATGTGAAATGGGTCTGGATATAGCATACTGTTGGGTTTTGGCTGTATCTTTTGATTGGGCGATTTAGTCAATTTAAATTTAGGATTACTGCCATTTGATGGTAACTGGCTGTTTTATCTATTCGTTGATGTAAATTCTTCTTTATGTTGATGCTCTTTACTTTTTGGTATATTTTCAGAAAGGCTAATATTGGTTGTTTCTTTTATGTGTAATGCTTCTTTCAGAAGCTCTTGTAAAGCAGACCTAGTGGTAATAAAATCTCTGAGTACTTGCTTGTTCATAAAAGATTTTCTTTTTCCTTCAGTTGTGAAGCTTAGTTTGGCTGGATATGAAACTCTGGGCTGAAGGTCTGTTCTTTAAGGATGTTGAATATTGACCCCCACTCTCTTCTGGCTTGTAGGGTTTCTGCTGAGAGATCTGCTGTGAGTCTGATAGGTTTCCCTTTGTGGGTAACCTGACCTTTCTCTCTGGCTGCCCTTAGTATTTTCTCCTTTATTTCAGCCCTGGTGAATCTAACAATTATGTGCCTTGGGGTTGCTCTTCTTAAGGAATATCTTTGTGGTGTTCTCTGTATTACCTGGGGTTGAATATTGTCCTGCTTTGCTAGGTTGGGAAAGTTTTCCTGAATATCCTGAAGAGTATTTTCCAGCTTGGATTTATTCTCTCCGTCGCATTCAGGTACACCTATCAAACATAAATTCGGTCTTTTCACATAGTCCCATATTTCTTGGAGACTTTGCTCATTCCTTTTTATCCTTTTTTCTCTATTCTTGTCTTCTCATTTTATTTCATTAAGTTGGTCTTCAACCTCTGATATCCTTTCTTCTGCTTGATCAATTCGAGTGTTTAAACCTGTGCATACTTCTCAGAGTTCCTATATTGTATTCTTCAGTTCCATTAATTCACTTACATTCCTCTCTAGATTGTCTATTCTCATTAGGTTTTCGTCAAACCTTTTTTCAAAGTTCTTAGTTTCTTTACATTGGGCTAGAACATGTTCTTTTAACTCACAGAAGTTTCTTATTATCCACCTTCTGAAGTCTGATTCTGCTAATGGAATGCACTCGTTCTCCATCAAGTCTTGTTCCCTTGTTGATGAGGAACTGTGATCCTCTTTAGAGGGAGAGGCATTCTGATTTTGAGTATTCTCAGCCTTTTTATGCTGGTTTCTTCCCATCATTGTAAATTTATCCACCTGTCGTCTTTGTAATTACCAACTTTCAAATTAGGTCTCTGAGTGGACGTCCAAGTTGTTAATTCCCAGGGCCGAAATCTGAGCAACCCACTGTGCCAGCCAAAACAGTGGTGTTAAGACTGATGGTGATTTTCTGGCGGGAATCTCCAGTCTGGCTTCCTTCTTGAGTCCGTAATAGGTGACACTGCCTTCCCAGAGCTCCAAACGTTGGTCAGAAGGGGAACCAGTCCCGTTTACTCTGCACCAAGAGCTGCCCCACCGAGGTGTCGGCAAAACCACTGCACCAGCCACAAGAGTCACGCTGGCAATCCGTGAGGCTCCTCCACTGGGAATCTTCTGGTCCGTGAGTGACAAAAATTTGTCTGAAAGTGTGGCGTCCTCTCATTTTCTGCGCTTTCACTGGGAGCTGCAATCCCGAGATGTTAGCGATCAGCCATCTTGGATCATTCTCCCTAACCATATTTCTTAAACATGCTACTCTCTCTGTATTGAGAATCACTCTTTTAGTCCTACAGGTCAAAATATCAGGATTTCAAGACAAGATTGCAGACTTCAAAGGTGTCTTGCCTAATCTTTTTATTGGGATAGTCATTTCATCCAAATGAAAAGAGGATGGATTCTAATGGAAATGGTGAAGAGTTACTATGAATTATACTACCAGGAGAACACATCAAAGCTGAATATATCAGCCAGTCCACAGGAGAGAACTGTCAACGTATGAAGGACACAGCTAACTGGCTGTTCTGCGCAAAGTCAGCTTTTAAAATGACAAACTCCTTTCTCCCAAGGCAAATGCATGGCCAAATGGCTACAAATTAAAGATTACAACACAGAAGAAGCTAATACTTTCAACTTTTTTTGACAATAATTAAAGTACTATGGCTTTAACTCAATGACCTTAATTTGTATATAAGTTAATTTTAAAACTGCCTGATTGTAATCCTGATGTATGCTTTGAACTCTTCAGGGTTTCAGGAAAGGCATGAAAAGGCCCAAAATAAAATATAAAACTGAATCTCAATTTGCTGTCTTAACCAGAAAGTTCTGCTTCTTCCCAAGACTAAAAAAGTATTAAGATTAAATGTTATCCTTTAACTTAACTGCAAAGATTGTGGGGAGGGAAGCAGAGATAAAATGAAAAACTGGCAGGGTAGTGGTGGTGGTTGGTGGTGTAAGGATTTACATTTAAATAGATAAGCAAGATAACATAATCTAGAAATAATTTATTTTTCCCAACTTGCTCAATTGCTGTTATCCATATTAATGGCTTTTTTCATTTTTGACATTTCATAAATGTCTTATCTCTCCTACCTGTCTAGCGTTCTTAGGTGCAAGAAGGTTGTGATATGCCTTAACAGAGAAAAAAAATGTGTATTAGGTAAGTTTCTTTCATGCATGAGTTATATTATTGGCTGTGAGTTCAATGTTAATGAATCAACAAGTAAGTACATCCAAAAATGGAAAAGGAAATCTGCTGATCTGTAATATAAGGCCTCTCTGGAGACACTAAAGTAACATCCATAATGCATGATGAAGCTATAGATATGATGGAAAAGCAATTAAATCTGTGGATTCATGAGATGACAACCAATGAAAAGCAGAAATCACAGTGGAAAGCACTGATGCGAGACTGAAAGTCAAAAACACGTCACATTACACAGGGCCAAGAAAATGTTAAACCTTTTCAACTAATGTTTTATTACCAAGAAATATTGTGTATAATTATTAGTAAGAAATACATATTAAATAGGCTGTCTAGACAGAAACATACATAAAACAAGGTCAGCTGCCTGATAAAAATCTCTTGACCAGAGCCTAGAGGAACCTAACTCTGTATTTCCTCAGAAACAATGGCTCTGTATTCACGAATATGGTATTCACCTAACAACATACAGAGTATAACAAGTCCCTTCTTTGTTTATGCTTGTTTGAATTGGGTTTCTTTCACTTGCAATAAAATAAACTTTCACTTGCAAAAAAATAAACTCCTGACTGATAATATTAAAAATTACATTATTAATAATAATAGCAGGTAAGATCTAATTTGAGCTTACTCTGGGTCTGGTGCTTCACAGATATTAGCTCATTTCATCTTCTATGAGACAGGTACTGTCATTATCGTCTCTAATTTACAGATGAAGAAAGTTAGACAAACAAACAAAAAAAGATGAATTAAAGTAAAAAACAGAGACACTATGCTATGCTGTATAGTAAGGAGCTTAGAAAGCAGATAACCAAACGGCCAGATATCCCAGTGTGTCTGCAGCACTCTCCAGAGAAAACAGGGACCCTGATCAACCTGGCTATCTGATCTGCTAAGGAAGTATTTCCTAAAAGTGGATGGGTGGATCAGATTCCATAACACTTGACATTAAATTCACCCGACCAATTGCTTTGCTTAGCAAGCAACCTTAAATAACTTGGCTTCTAGGGTAAATTCTACTCCTGGGATAGAATATTGTGACCAGCTAACCAAAGCATCTCAGTCTTATCAGAATTTCTACTTCTCATTATTAATTTTGTATCCTTGGTCTATTAGCTTTTTGTAGTTTATCGGGCATGAGTCAGTCCTTGAGAGTCATCTGAGTTCTAGGTTCTTTGGCCAAGAACAATCCTGTGTAAACAGCCTGAAGTATGGCCTCATCCCTGACTGACTAGTAAAAACAATTTACCCAAAAAGATAATAAAAAGGACTACTGTTCAAGAAAACTTCAAAAATTCTTCCCAACTGAGTTACAGTAATGGAATCTTCAAGTAGTCAAATAAAAACTGCCTACCAAGAGAATTAAACAGCAACCACAAACAAGATGTATGCTTGTGAATCAACTATCAATCCTAATTATAAATATGGTCTAGGTCATCACAATGCTCTGCCAGAACTAAAGCAGAAGGCAACTAAAATCATCTAACTTTCAGGAGAGAAATTCAATGTGGAGAGAAACCAGCCATTAACACAGCTTTCACTTCAAAGTACACTCCAGTTGGACCCCTAAGTCTTGTAGCTGCTGATGTCCATGACTTTAAAGGTCTAGTTTCAGCAAGGGTCTGCATCACTGGGCGTTTTGATGTCTAAGATCCTTATACCCATTTTTCCTCATTCACTCTCCTCCTTGCTCCTCGAAGAGCAGAATCATTTTATTTTCCTTCAAAACACACTATTATGAAATGTGCTGCAAAATGTAGAACTACACTTCCCTCAGCACCTACATGAGCCCCCTTGGCTGCATCTCCTGCCTCTTATTTCCCCATGATGAAACAGCAGAAGGACCACATCTGAAGGACAACTTTCTCTCAATGTCAACCTGGCACTTTCCTGAGTCCCTCTCATCTATTCTTGGTAAGAGATTCAAGATAATCTTAGCAGGGCTTACGGGTCCAAAGGACTAAAATCCAAGCACTATGTTAGCTGTGAAACCTGGGGAAAGATGTTTACCTACTTTAACCTCATTTCTCGCCTCCAAAATTGGGAGAAGGGTGCTAGAGTATTGTGAGGATTAATGAGGAAATGCATGTAAAAGGGCTTAGCATGGTGCCTGGCCCATACTAGTAAGTGACCAGTAAATGTCAGCTGCATTAGTCAATGTTACTCCTACTCCTGGTGCTCTTCTTTGAGACCTCAGCCGACAGGCCAATTCCCAAAAGAGGCTGGGATTGTGACTCCTGTCTTCCTCACTGCAATTAGCACTAGCTGCATTCTGCCAAATCTGTACTACAGCAAAGCAGCTTCACTACCATCTGCCATAACTTTCATGAAGGGGATCTGAGGTTGCTAGGAGGATGTTTTTTCATGTGCATTTGCTTTTAAATACTGGTGAGGGCATGGGTGGAGGGCAGTGGAGTGATAAATCTCTTTTTACTACCTCTAGTGAATTGAATGCTAAAGACAACCTTCAGTTCCTAAATTTTGTCTTAGACTATGCGACTACAACACAGCAGCCTAACTCATTCCTATTCCTTTGTTTGAAAGGCTCTGAGACCTAAATAACACTCAGGCACGACTTCTAATCTCATTTAAAACAGAGATAAGCTTCCTTTCAAATAAGCTTAGAAGCAATTACCTGAATATTGTATACATGTAGAGGGTCTCTTTCAACAGTAGGAAAAGACGATGTTGAAAACCTTCAGTGCTTTTCAGGTACTTCCAAATTCGGGCTTTAAATAAATTTGGGGCCAAAACAAAAATGCAGAATCTCTGATAACAAAAAAGATTCATTTTAATGACTTGCCTTATTATCAATGTTCCTACCAAAGGGAGAAATGGTATAGAAGGCATAGAGAAGTTTTCAACAATGTGAATCCACTCCTTGCTGTGTTCTCTTTCCTCCACTTTAGCTGGACTTTGGTCCTCTGACCCCTTCAGCCAACACAGGAAACATTCCCCTCTCTCTCCTGATCATCCCCTCACAGGTGGTGCCTTAAATACCTGGTGCTGGGCTTTGTGAAGCTGGAAGAATGACATCTCTGCTGTCTGCTTAAGCTGTGGGCTGCCTTCAAAAGATACCAACCAGACTGGCAAGAATTGAAAAGTCTAACAATACTAAGTCAAGGATATAGAACAGCCAGGACCCTCATGGACAGCTGGTGGGAATATAAACTGGCATAACCACTTGGCAAAACAAGTTGGCATTCTCTAGTGAAGATGAAGATGTGGATACCTCCCCACACAGTAATTTCACTCGTGGGCATATGACCAGCACTGTCCAACTTACTAAGCATCTATGCTGCTCCTGTACTACACTAAGAAATGGAGACACAAAGATGAGTAAAATATGGAAACTTAGAGCTTTCTGCGATAATGAAAATGCTATATATTTGCACTGTCCTTTACGGTAGCCAGTAGGTATATGTGGCTATTGAGTACTTGAAATGTGGCTAGCACAAGTGAAGAACTGAAATTTTAATATTTTAATAAAGTTTAATGTAAGTAGCCATACATGGCTAGTGGCTATCTTACTGTCCAATGAACATATGTGCCAAGATATATGTATAAGAATGTTCATTCCAGCATTATTTGAAATAGAAAAAAAAAACACATATATTCATCAATAAGAAAACAGATATGGTGTGGCACATGCATAAAACAGAACACTGTACAGCAGTGAAAAATAAACTCCATCTATAAGCATCATTGTAACTAAATCTTAAAAAGTGTTGAGTCACAGAAGAATTCAGAGTATGATGCATTTTTACAAAGTTCAAACACAAGTATAACAAATATATTATTTGGAGATTAACAGTCATCAGTGGTAACAAAAGCTATGAAGAAAAGCAAATCACAAACACAAAATACAGGGAAATGATTGTAGAGGCAGTAGGAATACCGGGAACCATCTGGAAAGGGAGGAAAGGGAGACATTTGACTATCATGGCTGATGTTCTGCTTCTGTCCTTTTATTGTTGTTCCTTAATATATATGACATGCATTATTTTATGGTCACAAACCCTTCACAATACAAAAAAATGCAAAGTACTGTAGAGGCAGTATGGCTTTTCCCGTACCTCCTCCACCAACACCCTGACCACGTGCTGACCGGGAGTTTCTCCATGAAGGAAGCAGGTTTGACTCATCTTTGTGCCTCCCATTCTCAGCAGAGTACAGGAGCACAGTAAAGGCTTGATAAATGCCTAGTGAACTGACCCCCATTCTGAGAAAACCAAAACTTTTACCATCTCAACTTGTTACCACTTTTATTTTCCAGATCATGTTAAAGATTCCCCACCCTGACTAACAATAAAACCCAGCTCACTTAACAGAGAAATACATGTCCCTGCCACCAACAAATACTATTTCTAAATGGAGTAAATGTCTAAAGCCACAGAATTATATTACCAAATTTACCATCTTATTAAAAGTCCATTTGATCTACCTCTAAGCAAGAGACTTACATTCCTAAATTCATTTTAATGGCAGCTAAGGCCTTCAGAGGCCAAGTAACTTTGGTTCTCTTAGAATTAAGTGGCTAAAGCAGAGACCGGAAACCAGGTCTCCTACTTCTTGGGCTCACCATGTTTTCTTCACTATCTTAGAGCAGCAGAAGACACTGACATTTGTTTCGGTCTCTCTCCTGGTAGCTACCCTAACCTGAATTGATTAGAGATTAAATAGGATAATGTATGTAAAGGACTCCATTTACAAGATGAGAAAACTGAGGTCCAGAAAAATTAAGTAACTCACCACAGGTCACACACTTGACTATGGACTAGGAGCCAGAAGTATTCCACCACACCTTGCAGATCTGCAAATTAAAGAAATAATAAATAACATTAGTACAGAACTCTAGAAAGTGTCTTCATGTTATCGTAAACAAAAAGACAGGAGTTAACTTCTGAAAATAAGAATATCTTTAAATTATTCAATCTTGAATATTACCACGTATTTCATCTCAAGACAGGAGTTTGGTTAAATACCAGTAAAATAACCTCTAACTAGTTATAACGATGTCAGTCATCTCTAGAAGTAAACTAGAGATATAGATATCACCTTATAAAAATTCCTGACATTTGATAGGGAATAGTAAAAATAGAATTACTTTAAAATCTCCCTTTTTGTTAAAAAGAGAAATTTTGGGGAAATAATTTAATTTTGTCTATTTTATTTATTTTTCCATGTATCATACATATTATAGCTTGTTTTGCCACAACTGTTATGAAGATCGTCTCCTTTCATTCCTTTTTTCTTTTCTTTTTTTTTTTTTTTAAAAAAAAAAAAAAAAACAGAATCTGGCTCTTTCGCCCACGCTGGAGTGCAGTTGCCGGTTTCAGCTCACTGCAACCTCTGCCTCCCAGTTTCAAGCAATTCTCCTGCCTCAGCCTCCCAAGTAGTTGGGATTACAGGTGCCTGCCACCACTCCTGGCTAATTTTTGTATTTTTAGTGTTTTTCGTAGAGACAGGGTTTCACCATGTTGGTCAGACTGGTCTCAAAACCCCTGACCGCAAGTGATCTACCAATCTCGGCCTCCCAAAGTGCTGGGATTACAGGTGTGAGCCACTGCGCCAGCCCTTCCCTTTTCATTACCACATCCTCCATCATGCAAAATGAGAAGAGATTATCAGAGTGGGACCTAATGTATCTCAAAGGAAAAAATCCTGCATGGTATTAAGACATTTTTTGTCAAGCACTTTGGGAGCCCAGGTGGGTGGATAGCCTGAGCCCAGGAGTTAGACATCAGCCTGGGCAACATGTCAAAACCCCATTTCGTCTTTTGGCAAAACCAAAAACTACAAAGAATTAGCTGAGCGTGGTGGTGCACACCTGTGGTCTCAGCTATTTGGGAGGCTTAGGCAGGGGGTTTGCTTGAGCTTGGGAGGCAGAGGTTGCAATAAGCCCAGATCACACCACTGCACTCCAGCCTAGGCAACAGAGCGAGACCCCCATCTAAATAGAAAAAAAAAGGATATTATTGTCAGAACTTTATTTCTACCTCTTTATGCAGAACATCCTATTCAATCTGGAGAATATTACTTTAATTTATAAAACTGAAGCATAACTATCTTGTGTCTCCAGTAGGGGTACTACTACACTCATTAAATATAAAAATATTTTAATTGATCATACAAATCTTAAGAAATTAAAATTTGGTCTTCAGAATGAAATGCTAAAACCAATGGCTTCAACCACATAATATGGAACATTCTGAAATCCCTGTTTCTTTTTTCAAAAAAGTAAACTCCAGCTACTTACTGAACAAGTATAACTGGATGCTAGTGCTAATTTTGTTTTCATGCCAAAGGAGTTCTGCCAGAGGTTTCTAACCTGTCCTCCTTGTTTCCTGCGTTATACTTTTTACAGAAGGTTCCTAGCCTTGAAGGGGGTGCGACCACGATGTAGAATATGTAATTGAACTATTTTGCTGTAGAATATGCAATCCACATACTTTGTTTTTCTGATTTATAATGCTACTCCCTTCTTCCCCAGGGTAAAAGGGAAGTACAAAAGGTGAGTTTCACAGTAATCTGCCGACTAAAACATGATACCCTCTCTATCACTGCATTTAAAACTCATTTTATTTTTTTCTTTCTCCCTAGTCCAGAGTTGAAAAATCAGCTCACTTGATCTTATCAAATCATCAAATAAAAGGTTCTAGAAATAGCTTCCTATTTGTGGAAAGCGCCAGAAGACACATAAAAATGGAAGAGAGCTCTGAATCGTCTTTCCCAAAGCATTCTGTGCGTGATGAATGCAAGCAAAATCCTGGAAGGCTTTTCTCTGAATTTAAGGTACTTCCTAATGGGGCTGATTTGAAAGCTAATGTAAATGCAATCAGAAAGCAGCCAGAAACAGTGACAGATCAACAGCAAAGTTCCAATACTTATTCCCCGGAGCTCATGCTTCAAACACAAATTCCGTGCACAGTCGCATTTACAGCCTGTACAAGCTCACCTGTTTCAGGTTACACATGTTCCTCTCGGTCTGGTTGTCCTGGTTTGCCCACTCCACACGTTCACATATGACTCGAAGTCTCACCTGCCCCCGGACGTCCCAACCCCGACACCCCCGACGTCTCGGCGCGCGCACACACACACACACATGTCCACATACGCGCGCGCGCGCGCGCACACACACACACACACACACACGTGTCTGCACACACCCTCGCCCCCGGCCCCGCCTAGGAGGCGGACCCAGAAGAGGCAAGCCTGCCCGGCCTCCGCGAGGTGGGTGGTGCCGAGCCCCGCCACCTCGCCGCCCCGCCGGCGCTGTCAACTCGGACGTCTTGCCCCCGTCCTCGGCGCAAACTCCTCGAGGCTGCCGAGGTTCTCCAAAATGCCGGGGCCTCACCGGCTCCCATTTCGCGTGAAAGCGTCCGCGAAACTCACTGCACAGATGTCCCTGGAACCCCAGAATTTAAATAGGGGCAGGGGGCGAGCAAGGGGAATATCCTCCTTTTGACTTTCCGCGTCGCAATTCCTCCGGGGCGGCGGGGCGGCGGGGCGGCGGGGCGGCAGGGCGGCCGGGCGGCCGAGCGCGGGTGGGAGGCGCTCCCATTTTGAAGGCTTGCCTAGCTTTTCCCGGCACTGGGCTCTCTGGCCAGAAGGCAAGCCCCCGAGGACGCCAGGGAGGCGCACGCGAGGTCCTACGGGCGCCGCGCCGCGCCCCGACCTCCCCGCGTCCCAGCCCCAGGTCGTCAATGGAGGTGCCTGCAGCCGACACCGCCGGAGCCGCGGGAGGAGCCGCAGCCGCCCCTCCGGGAGCCGCGCGCTGACGGCAGTGCCAGGGCGGCACGCGGCCCCGCGCGGTTGCAGCTCCGCGTGACCCTCTCCCTGGAACCCCGGCCCCCGCCCCGCGCACCTCGGCAGCCGCAGAACCGCAGCTTAGGACTCCGACTGTCACAGCCCCTCTCGCCGGGCTCGGGGTTTCTCCGTTTTCGGCGTCACAATAATAAGGAAGTTTCCCCGCAAGCCTGCGGGCGGCGGAATGCGCTCGGTAAATGACTTCGCACCGGGCCAATGGGCGCCGTTATGGGGAGGGCCCGCGCCAATGGTGGCCGCCGCGGGCCGGAGGCGGGGCGGGGAGGTCCGCGGGCGGGAGGAGGGGAGAGGCCCAGTCCCCAGAGCCAGGCGCCGGCAGCCGGAGGTGACAGACTCGCTGGCCCGGCGCGGGGACCGCGGTACGGGTGTGTCAGCCAAGATCCGACTGCAAGACACAGAGCGTTGGCGCTGAAATATGATTGCTTTTCACTGGTGGGGAAGAGAGCGGGACCGATCAGAGATTGCCTTTTCAGATTCTGGGCTCGGGATATTATTTATGCAGAGGTGACCGAAAGCCTTGGTCACCCGGGGGAAAGCTACAGGGTGACAGTTGAGGGAGAGTGCGCTAGTCTGCTTTACTCGCCTTCGTTGGACAGTGGGAAGCGCGGCGGCGCTGAGCTATTGGAGAGGCAGGAAAGGAGGTCCGCCGCGGCCGCCGGCGCCTCTCTGGAGAGGTGGGGATCGAAGACCCGCACGGGGCTGCGGAAGAAAGGCCGGACTGGGGGAGGCTGGAGGGTGGACGCGGGGAGAGCCTAGCAGGAGGTGTCTCAGAGCACCGGATCTTAAATCTTGTAATCTGAAAGACACCCTGTGGCCTAAACCCAGTAACGGATTTTTTTTAAAGTTTGTCCTCTTCCACTTTTCCCTAGCACCGAATCCCAGAGCTTCCTCCTCCTCCCCAAGGTCACTAGTGCTTTCATACTTCCCCTAGACCTGATCTGATCCACAGCTAATCTTTTGCAGAAAACATCAGAAGGGTGACTTCATGTGTCTGCCCCCCTTCAATGTGAAATGCAGAACACTGGCACAGTACTGCTTGAATCCAAAGGAATAACTCTCCTAATTGAAGAATTTCTATAACCTGGCATTTGAACCAGGAAGGCCCTTTGAGGATGGATTCTTTTCAAGGACATTCAAATCACCTCAGGTCTGCAATCACTTGTTCTGAGAACCTAACAGACTAACCAAGTAGAAAAGAAAGTTTCAAGGAGTAGCGTATCCTGAGGATGAGACATCGTTGGCTGACTGACAGTGTTGAGCCCTCTGTGAAATAATGCAAATTGTCCAATACTGCGAGACAAGAAAGCTAAAAAAGCAGAATCTCAGTTATCAGGTCATCTAAGAAAAAATACAGACTTTTGAAATTTGGATTACACTGGACACTTTTAGAAACACTGGAGATGACTGGGTGCAATGGCTCACACCTGTAATCCAGCACTTTGGGAGGCCTAAACTGATGGATCAGTTGAGGTCAGGAGTTCAAGACCAGCCTGGCCAACATGGTGAAACCTTGTCTCTACAAAAAGATACCAAAATTAGCCCGGCATGGTGGTATGCGCCTGTAAGTCCCAGCTACTTGGGAGACTGAGGCAGGAGAATCACTTGAACCTTGGAAGGTGGAGGTTGCAGTGAGTTGAAATGGAGCCACTGTACTCTAGCCTGCTAGGCAGAGGGAAATGCTATCTCAAAAAAGAAAAAGAACAAAGAAACACTGGGGGCAAGAGTAACACAGTTCACTCATCTTCCAGATGTGTGACAGTTTCACAAAAGTTTATTCTGTTACAAAGATATAATCCCAGTTTAGAGATGCTGTTAGCAAAGGAAGTGGTGAAAGAGCTAAAGAGGAGTCTGGTAGGAAGAAGGGTACTTGGAAAGGAGAAAGTGAGAGGTCCTATTGTTATGTGTCACATGTGAGGTTTGTAATCAATCAGTGTTTCGGTTGATATGTCTGACCCATGGCTTAAGTGTTTTTTGTATGAAATTTCATCTTGAAAAGGATAGTTATCAAAGACTCAAGCCTAGACGTGGGGTAGGAGTGATGTCTAAATAACACAAGCTCGGATACTGTAAGCTTCTTTTACCAAATAAATAGCCAAACCCTTGGAACTTACATAGAACTTACATGGAACAGTAAAGATACCAGAGTACTTCAATTTATTTTTTTTTCATTGAGCTAACATATAATGACAATTTCCTTAGCAAGCTTGTCCTGTTCCCATTATCAAAATGTCTTTAAATGGCTCCAGTATCAACAATAGTCTTGACAGCATCTATATAAACTATTTTTAAGAGACCATGTTTTACTTTTTCTTTGCATTTCTATAGCCCTGTCTTCCATCCATGTTTACATTCTTATATATTCTCTAACAAACACACCAAATACTGAATATAATGTCACCCCCTGTGAATATATCAGTAAGCAAAACAGCACAGTCTTTGTTGCCATGAAAAGGAAGACAAATGGACTAGTGTGATATAAAAAAAGGGGAGACAAACATTAATCACATAATTGCACCAAGGAACATATACTTGCTAACCTTGATAAATTTTGTGAAAGAAAAACATTCATGTTAAAAATAAAAGGCTTAATAAATTCTAGGCTCGTGCCTGTAATCCCAGGGCTTTGGGTTACAGGCTGAGGCAAGAGGATGGCTTGAGGCCAGGAGTTTGAGACCAGTCTAGGCAACATTGTGAGACTCTGTCTCTCAAAAAAATAAAAATAGACATGGTGGTGCATGCCTGCAGTTTTAGCTACTTGGGAGGCTGAGATGAGAGAATAGCTTGAACATAAGAATTTGAGGTTGCAGTGACCTTTGATGGCACCACTGCACTCCAGACTGGGCAACAGGGGAGACTCCAAATACACACACACACACACACACACACAAATATATATGTAAACATATAACCATAACTTTTTTTTTAAGAGACAGGGTCTTGTTATGTTGCCCAGGCTGGCCTCAAACTCCTAGGCTCCAGCAGTTCTGCTACCTTAGTCTCCCAAGGAGCAGGGATTCAACTAACCATAACTTTTGATGGGGGACAGGACCATGTGATTCAGCTCTATCACTGGTTAGACAAGGTATGCCCAGTGGCAAGAGGATGGTGGTGCCCAGGGCTGCTTCACTTCTACCTGAACACATGCTGATTTCCTCCGTTAGTTACAGTTCACTTCTTAAAATACTTATGTCTATTTTGAAATGAAACAAATTCTCAATAGAACAGTAATACTATTTAATGATAATTGTTTTCCTTTCTTCTCTGTGTTTAATTTACTTGCCTTGCAGACAGATATTTACTTGGTAAACTTAGAAAGAGACAGATAAATTTCTGATATATTGGATGAAATCTGCAGGAAAAAAACAGGCCAGCCAGGACATTCTATCTCTCAGATACGCTATTGAAGAATAAGTATCTTTAGCTGTAGGAGGGAAAAGCACTGGCTGATTACTTGACAAGTAAAAAATATGTGTACCCTGTATGGTTATGTAATGACAAAGGTGTTTCTTGGTCCCCAACCTCCAAAAGAAGTTCTTATTTTCTCAGTCTAGTCAGTACTTAAGGGAAAAATCAGTCTATATATACCCTTTCTAAACTTATTTAAAACGGCCCTGTAACACACACCATTGATTTATTAATGTGAAATAACTTAGAAGAAAGACATCATAGGAAATCAGTATTACCATCAAATAATATTTGAATAGTATTGAATATGTTCTCCCTGTAGTACTGCTAGACAAGAAGCATCATTCCTGACTACAAAGAGCTTTCAGCCATTGTGATTATTTCTCTTTCTTCAAACTATTCATAGCTTGCATTTTTTTTCTTATCAAGCCATTTGGATGAAGCATAAGAACCTTACCTTAAGTATGAGAAACTCATTGTTTTCATATAACTTAAAATTTCTTAATGAAAACAGGATTGGATGGCTGAGAATTTTCTAAGAAAACCTTTAAGTTGAGCATTGGCTGGTCTCTGAAGATTTCATGCAAGAATGCCTTTAGGAAGTAAATATTTCATGAAGCGTCCTCTTTTTAAAAGTTCCCATAATTTTGTGCTCTTAGAAATGGCACCCAACATTATTACTGTGACTGGACTGGCAAAATAACTGTTTGGGCAAATGCAACAGAGGTCACGTTTGTCACCCTGTAGCTGCGTAGAATGCATGCATGTAACTGCCAAAAAACAGGCAGCTGTTTCACCCTTCTAGAGGCAAAGAAACATAGTCTTCCAAAATCTCCTTCCTTTGAAGTTTTACTAAATCTGGGTCTAAGGAAATTTAAAGAATTATGTTATTTCCTAGAAAAGCTAAAGTGAACCTGTGGAATTTCAAGAGGACATGCCTATAACAATATTAGACAGCTTTATAGGTTGGCCATAAAAATCTGGAAGCACAGGAAATATACCTAATAAATGGTTTGTTGTTATTACATGATATGTTTAGTGACATTACATGATATGTTCAGGGACATTACATGATATGTTAAATGTGCTCCTTGTAACAATGTTCATGTTACAAAGCATGGTGCATTGATAAAACATTTTTCTCAATCCAAGCAAAAGCAAAAGCAGCTGCCATGTGTTGCCTCCGTTGATTTCTCCGTCTGATTTTTCTGGAATAA